ACCGCAGTGAGAAGCCCACGCACCACAACGTAGAGTAGCCCCCACTCGCCACAACTAGAGAAAGCCCGCATGCAGCAACGAAGACCCAATGCAGCCAAAAATAAATAAATTTATAAATAAATAAATAAGATAAAAATAATCATCTGGATTTTGTTTTCCTTGTGAACAGCTGAGTAGTGTGATGAAAAGAGCCACCATCCAGGCACCTTCAAAGTTGAACTTCTGGCAGATGTTGTATGGGTTTCTTCTCTCGGAATACTTGTGGTTTGACAGTTTACAGGAGTGATAATCTCTTACATCATGCTGCCTAAGCTGTCAACCTGTTTAGTGAATGTGACACTTCCAGACATTTACAGTTTTCATTGACTTATTTTTGTCTTTACTGTTCTTCTTTTTAAATAATTAAAGGCTAAATTCCATAAACATAAAATGTATATCTTACTTGTTTAGTCCCAAGATATTTAATGCCTCAAAATGCATTAAGTGCAAGTAAATACCCTTCTTAAAGAATAATGAAGATTAAATACCTTTAATTAATGAAGATTAAGTACACTGTTATATTATTCTGATAACAAACATTAACCAATGAATGCTTGTGTCTACTTTAATGGGATTTGTTTTAATATAAGAATGAATTTTATGGTTTGCGAATACAAAAACTTTGTTTAAGTATTATTCATATTTTTAATTAATGAGAATTTATCCTACCTACAGGGTTTTCGATATCAAATCATCCTTGACAGGCAAAGGAAGACTGTATTTGACTTGAACCGTTAGGTTTCAAATGCTAATGCTCAGAACAAGGTTAAAACAATTGTGCCAACTGAAATTTAAAAAAAAAAAAAGAGGAGTCAATCTAAAAAATTATATATGAAGTAACACTCAGGTAGAATTTAGATATGCCCAAAATCACGAAGGACGCAATGACCGGAAATTTGGGAAACAGGATGCCAGGGGCTTCCCTGGTGGCGCAGTGGCTGGAGTCCGCCTGTCGATGCAGGGGACGCAGGTTCGTGCCCTGGTCCGGGAAGATCCCACATGCCGCAAAAAAAAAAAAAAAAAAAACAGGATGCCAAAACCTAGCCTGTCACCAGACTGCCAAACTGAAGTAGAATCTCTAGGTGTGGTGGGTCATGACCTGTGTGAGTTGCTTTGCCTAGTCTATCCCTTTCCCTCAATTCCTACTGATCGTGCAGAGTCTTGTGCACCCCTGGAAAGGAATCTGGATTTGATTCCAACTGCAATGGGATGCCATTGGAGGGTTTTAAGCAAGGGATTATAAGATCTGATTTGCTTTAGGGATCAAATGTGCTGATAAATGTGAACAGGCTCTGTAAATGCTAAAGTATCATACCAGCATATTTTATTACCTTGATAGAGGTCAAACTGAAAGGGAGAGATGAAAATAAGGAACATTAAAATCCAAGTAGGACAGGCCCATTCTAAATCATGTGGGCTGGGGTCTTCTCCCAGGCTTCTCTCAAGTTCTGTTTGGGACTTGAGGAAGATCAGGTTTGGTGGAAGAGGAATCAGGAATTGTATTTGCCATATTAAATTTGAGGTGACCATTAGATGCCTAGGTGGAGATCCTGAGAAAGTATCTGGATATATCCAACTGGAGTTAAAGAGAGAAATCAGGATGGAAATACAGATTTAGGATCTATCAGAATATAGTTTTGCTAAAAACGATAGTTGCTAATCTTTATAGCATGCTTACTATATTTTAGACACCATTTTAAGTGCTTTATATGTATAAACCCTCTTGGTCCTTACCACAGCTTTAGCAGGTTAGGTCCCATGATTATCTCTATTTTAAAAATGAAGAGGGCTTCCCTGGTGGCGCAGTGGTTGGGAGTCCGCCTGCCGTGTGTTGCTTAATAATGGTTACATTTTGCCCAATATTCTAGCCACTGTTTCACCTTCTCCATATATTAAAATATCCCCTGAGGAAAAAACCACAAGTTCAATAACAGCAGAACAAGAGGACCTTACAGGTAGACATGGATTTGCTTGGATTTTATGAACTTCTTTCATCTCCTTTCAGAATTTACGAGTTAGGAGAGTCAGAATGTGTTAGCTTATGAAATTTATTTTGGGACTGAAACCAAAAAAAAAAAAAAAAAAAAAAAAAAAATGAAGAAACTGAGGCATAAAGAGATTAAGCTACTTGTCCAAAGACACATAGCAAGTATGTACCAGAGCTGGAACTCAAACCTAGGTAATCTGACTCCAGAACTCCTTAAAGCCATGGGACTGTTTGGGATATACAAAGAGACAGGACTGAGGAAGAGGAGGACAGAGCCCTCACATACAGTATTTCAAGTCAAACAATTTCCTGAGTCCTGAAGATCAAGTGACTGGCACTGTTTCAGGCTCTGCAGACACAAAGAAAAATAAGACACAGTCTCTCAGGAAGCCCACTCTGATGGCTATGAGCTGATGGCAACTATTTACTGAACATTTACTATGTGCCACACACTGGCCAAGCTTTTTAGACATGTTATTTCACTCCTCCTAACAGCCCTATGAGGTAGATGTTACTACAGCCATTTTAGAAATAATGAAACTGAGGTTCAGAGAGGTTAAATAATATAACCTAGTTATAAGTGACAGAACTAGGATTCAATCCAGGTCCATCTTACTTCAAAATTTGGTCTTTTCCCAGGAAATCCTGTTACGTGCTACAACATGGATGAACCTTGAGGATATTATGCTAAGTGAAATAAGCCAGGCACAAAAAGACAATGTATAATTCCACTCATGAGGTATCTAAAGTAATCAAATTCATGGCAACATAAAGTAGTAGAATGGTGGTTACCAGGGGCTGGGGGAGGGGAAAAAAGCAGTTGTTTAATGGGTTGAGTTTCAGATTTGCAAGATGAAAAAATTCTGGAGATCTGTTTCACAACAATGTGAATACTTGACACTACTGACTGCACACTTAAAAATGATTAAGAAAGTAAATTTTATGTGTTTACAACATAAAGAAAGAAAATTTTTATCTGGTCTTTCCAAGTATACCACATGCCATAATGGATATGCTTACTGTGCTATGGAAATACTTGTGAGGATATAATTTATTCTGCAACGTGGGGGTGTAGCAAGGAAGAGATCAAAGAAAGTGACTAAGAAAGGACACATATGAAAGATGAAGTTTCCCACTTTATCTTCACTATAGTTTTGGGAAGGTACATCCATCTCAACCTCTGAAATAGCTCCCATTCCTGTCTGTATACAACTACTGATTACCACAATAACCAGACTAGACCAGGCTCAAGAACACTCCAGCACCTTCTATCTGGTGAGCTTCTTCAGTCTCCTCCCATTTCAAGTCATCCAGCACTGGAAACAAATTAAGTGTACTAAATTTCCCCATTCATTAAGTTAAAGAACTTCCGTGGCTCCCTATTGCCCTCAGAACATAGAGGATTATCAACACGAGTGCTTAGTAGCAAATTACCTAATTTTTCTGAGCCTCAGTTTCTTCATCTGTGTTGAGATGAGACCCGACACTTGATTCAAAAGACTGAGAATTAAATAAAGACACTGTATACCTTGCACAATGCTTGATCCAAAATATGTGCTCAGTAAAGGTGAGTTAGTTCCCTTTCTGCCCATTGCTACATACCCAGCTCAGTAAGGGTTTTTGGGTTAAAGGATAGAGCAAGTATTTCCAGAATCTTAAGGCAGACAGAGAAGAATGCAAAGGGAAAAAAGTTGCTCATCTATGGTTAACTGATGTTCAGGAAAATATTGTTCACCCAGAACTGCTTCTTCATCTGTAACCCTCTACAAACACAGACCACCTGGTCTTTATCTTATATTCTGTCCTTTTAACCATATGAGTAATATTGAAGTTGTTCAAAATTAAGTTCATATATAAAGTTATACTGTGAAAAGTCTCACTCTCATTCTCTCCCTCATCTACCCAATTCCCACTCCACTCCCACCAATCACTTTATTACTATTCCTGTATTTACTTAAAAAGTTTCTTTATGCAAAAGCTATCCTTAAATTAAGCCAATGCTTTACAGGTGTGTTTGCAACGTAAGTTCTGGGAACATGGGGGTGGGGGGAGTAGAAGAGCGAGCAGCCTAGGTTTATTCATCCCGCTTTACCCTAAAACAGTGTCCTTCATTCATTCAAAAAAAAATGCTAATCATATACTGGGCACTATTATAAGCCAGATACCAAGAATAGCATTAATATTAACTGATTACTCTTCAGCTTTTTACCGTGCACCAGAAATGCATTTAACGCTTTTACACAAATCAGGAAACTGAGGCACAGAAACGTAACTTGCCCAAGCAAGAGAGGGCAGGGTTCTGAATCCAGGCCTGACTCCAGAGCCCTAGCTCTTTACCATGACGCTCTACTTTGGCAAACCAGATACAGTCCCTGCACTCGCTGGAGCTCAGCCTAACGTGGGATACACGCGAGAAAAAGGATAGACAACAAAGAAATATGTAATTACAGACTAAGAAAGTAATGTGGACGGAACGAATTCAGGGCTGTAACTGAATAACAATGGGGACCCACTTTTGAAGAGGGAGGGTTGTGTCGAGGAAAGGCCTCTCTGAGAGAATGACATTTATGATGGCTTGGGAACCGTTTGGGGTTTGCAGTGATGACCCACCGCCCAAGTAACGGGGAAGAAACTCGCGGCCCGTAGAGGCTACAGCACACTCGCCCAGGGTCCCCCAGACGTGCAGACGTGGCGCAAGGAAGGGAGGATCTAGGAGCTGGGCCTAAGACTCGTACACGCCATCAATGCCCGATGCAGCCCAGCCCTGCTCGGTCCCTAACCCGGAGCCTCTAGCCTGCCGCTGCCCACTGCCCCGCCGCGGCTGACAGCGTCGCGACAGCCCACAGGGAGGCCCCGCGGCCAGCCAAGAGGGGTCGGGCCCGTACAGTGGCGGCCTGGAAAGGCCTCTTGCCCGGCCCCCCCGCCAGCTCCCGCCCGGTCCACCCCGCCCCGCCCCTCCGGGCCGGCTTCGTACCTGCACGGCCCGGACCAGGCCCTGGCCGGTCAGCTGGCCCTGCCGCAGCTGCAGCAGAATGTTACCAGGCCGCGGCCGGCCGCCCCATCCGCCCCAAGCCGCCACAGTTGCCGCCGCCCGTCGCCCTCGGCCGACCCCAGACCCAGCAGCCGCCGGCGCCGCCGCCATGTCTCCTCGTCCGACAAACAGGAAACAAGCGGCCCCGGGGCCGCGGAGATTCCTACGGGGCGGCGGAGGGGTCGCCGCAGCGCCCCCAGTGGGCCGACGGCGGAGGCGCAAGCCGCGTGGCAGGGGCCGTGCGCGCCGCGGGGACTGCTGGGAAATGTAGTCTTGCTCTCAGGAGGGCAGGTGCGAGAGAGCGTTTCTTGCGCCACTTGTCCTTCTGGCCCCTCCGTCCAGCATTTCAGTGAGGTCCCCCGAGGTCGAAGACAGGTCCCCGCGTGTGCATTCTCCCATTTCTTGCCTATTTGGGGAGGTTACAGCCAACTGGCTAGGAAAAGATCTTGGATTCCAGACCAGGAATCAGGCCGTCTGGTCTGATTTCCCGCCTGCTTCTTTCTGCCTCTGACTCGCCACGGACCTCTCTGAGCCTCAATTTCCTCATTAGTTCATTCAGTCAGTAGTTCCTGGGAGCCTAAACAGCCAGGAAATAGTTCCTTGGGGCCAGCTCTGCGCCCAGCACCGAACGGTCCCTGAGAAAACAGTGGTGAGCAGAGCAGAGTAACTAGGTCCCTGTTTTGAAATGCGGGTTACAGGGAAGACATCCATACACAGACGCACAGTGACAAACTGGGCAACTTGTGTAACTGGGTAGGTTGTTGTGATGTTAAATGAAATAATGGAAGGGAAAAGGATTGGTACATTGTGACATCATATTCTCTGTCAGAGGCCTCTTGTCCTGATTTCTCCCCACCAGATAGTATGTTCTGTTCTACTCTGAGCCCAGGTAATCATTTTTTTGGCAAACTTCTGTGCCCGGATCGTGGCATCTCCTCTCCTTTTTTCTTCCTGGGAGGGGGTCTTGTAACATAAATGAAAGAGGGATGCTGGGTGTGATGCAATAAGGAATGGTGGAGATTGTGACCCATAACTTACTGCCCAAACCAGAACTTTTAAGAATGAAAGGATGCTATTAATTACAACGGGACAGCAGGCGTGTAAAGGGACTATTCCTGGCAAACTGTGATTGTGGTCACCATCCCCATGCCCATCTACAAGGAGTGGTCTCTACTCGCCTCCTGCAGATTGTTGCTGAATTGTCTAGTTTTTCCAGAAAGGCCAAAAGTCTGGGTTTTTATGTGAAATCACTCAATTTAAAAAACTCCATGGGCCAAATAAAACCCTATTTATGACCCCTGGAACAGGGAGACCAGGATCAGGTCCAGGTGTACATGGAAGTTTAGCATGTGGTAAGGGAGACATTTCAAATCAATGCGCAAAGAAAAAAATAAGTTAGGTCTTAAACGTTACACCAAGCTAAAATGAATATCAGACATACTAAAAGCTATGTATAACAAAATCAAAGTATAGTTCTAAAGCTGGATTGTGGTAATAGTTATACAACCTTAAGTTGACTAAAAATCATTAGATTGTATACTCAAAATGGGTGAGTTTTATGTTATGTAAATTATACCTCATACATTTATGATATGTAAATTATCTGATATGTTAAAAACCAAAGTATAAAAATAGTACAAGTGGGGACTTCCCTGGTGGCACAGTGGTTAAGAATTTGCCTGCCAATGCAGGGGACACGGGTTCGAGCCTGGGTCTGGGAAGATCCCACGTGCCGCAGAGCAGCTGAGCCTGTGCGCCACAACTACTGAGCCTGCACTCTGGAGCCCATGAGCCACAACTGCCGAGCCTACGTGCCACAAGTGCTGAGGCCCATGAACCTAGAGCCCGTGCTCCACACAAGAGAAGCTACTGCAGTGAAAAGCCCATGCACTGCATAGAAGAGTAGCCCCTGCTCACCGCAACTAGAGAAAGCCCACACGCACAGCAACAAATACCCAACACAGCCAAAAGTAAATTAATTAAAAAAAAAAAGTAGTAGAAGTTAATCTATGGGAATACTTTTACGATTTGGGGATAGAAAAGTTCTTCTCAATCATAAAACCCAGAAGTCATGAATAGGAAAAGATTGACAAGTTTGACCCTAACAATGTTAAAATTTTCTGTTCAAGACACTATGCACAACCATAAAAGGCAAGTGATATTCTGGGAAACAGTCAATATCCAGAATGTATGAAGGACTTACTGCACCCTCTGCCTGAAGTTCTCATCCCCAGGAAGCTCTCTGAATGGCTTGCTTCCTCATGAACTCCAGGTTTCTATTCACGGAGAGATCTTCCCTACTATCCATATAAAAACAGCACTCCTTAAACTCACCATCTTATTACCTGCTTTGTTTGTTTCTATAGCACTATCTCCACATGACATAGTTGTTTACTTTTTGCACCCCTCCCCCTGACTGGAGTATAATCTTGGTCTTTGTTCATTGCTGCATTTATCTCCAGCACATAGAATAGTACTTGACACATAGTAGGTGGTCAAATATTTGTTTATTGGTTCAAAAAATTAATGAACAGATGCATGAACACCTACAAAAATCAAGGTAAAGGGTTCCTGGTGGTCCAACGGGTAAGACTCCGGGCTTCCAATGCAGGGGGCCTGGGTTCGATTCCTGATCAGGGAACTAGATCCCGCATGCATGCGGCAACTAAGAGTCCACATGCCACAACTAAGAAGTCCACATGCTGCAACTAAAAAGATCCTGCATGCTGCAACGAAGACCCGGTGCAGCCAAAATAAATAAATAAATAAATGCTTTTTAAAAAAATCAAGGAAAAAAATAAACAACCCAATAGAAATATAGGTAGAAAGGAAGAGGCAATTCACAAAAGAAAAATAAATGTCCAGTAAATGTGTAAAAAATGCCCACCCTCAATTTTATTAATAGTAGAATGTTGATGGTGAGAACATAAACTGATATATCTTTCTGCAAAGAAATTTTTTAGCAATATGAATTAATCATAAAGAAATCCAAACTTTTTGACTTGATAATTACTCCCTAATGATATTATTTGATATGATGATGATTTAATGCAAAAATGCTTATTACTGTATTATTTGTGAAAGCAAAAATAGAAAAAAATGTAACAATAAAGTAGGATCATGGTTAAATCTAGTGTTTCAATATAATGGAATATTTCAGCCATTGAACATCATCATTTACAAAATAAAATACTAAGATTTCAAATAAAATTAAATATTCATATACTTTGATCTGCTTCTAGGAATTTATGTCTTAGCAACAGCTAAACAAGTATACCAAGATGTATTACTAAAATATTCAGTGAGATATTTATATATCAAAATATTGGAAAAATCTGAATATCCATCAATAGGTGACTGGTTAAACAAACCACGTTTCATTTACTCAGCAGAATACTGCACAGTCACCAAAACGAATAGGACACACACACACACACACACACACACACACACACACACACACACTGACATGGGAAGATGTTCATGATACAGTTAAGTTAAAAAAGCTCATAGAGGGCCGTGGCGCAGTGGTTGGGAGTCTGCCTGCCGATGCAGGGGACGCGGATTCGTGCCCCGGTCTGGGAGGATCCCACGTGCCACGGAGCA